GGTATAACCTTCAAAACCGTTCATACACCACAAACAGTGTCAAGAAGGCTCTCCTATACTTTTAACATGTGTATACGACCTACACACGTCTCCCCATACGACATACACTTACACTTAGCACTCATACACCAGTACACCCCTACACCTAATGCTCATTTACCAAATTCCTAAATTATAGCAGTTATACCAACCTATATGCACATGCAACTCACACCCGCACACAACCCATCCACACCAATACACCCATATTCCAATCCCTCACACACACCCGCTACAGGCCTCCCTTTCCCACTCTCTAATTTCCAGAATACACACACTCTACCCCCTATGCCTACCTTCTCTATTAGCACTCAACACACTCTCTATTCCTGCCTTCACTCATCCCCAAATAGCCTCGGCTTCCCATCCTTTCCTACTAGTTGTATCAACTCTCACAGCCCTTTACCTTTCCTATCCTCCACTGCCAGCTCCCCCTCTACTACTCTCCTAGGCCTATTCTGTCCTTAACCGCTCCTCTCTCCACACCTTTCTCACCTCCCTTCACTTACCTCATTCCGTGCGTTTCTGCCCGTCGTCAATCACACCTATTCACATCATCTCCCTTACAAATTTTTAATCACAGAGTTCCTCTCTCTCACGGACCTCACTCACTCACCAAACTCCTCATTCTCTTTCCTCCTGCGACCTCCACCATATACCTCCCTTCACCTTTCATTTTCATCTTTCCCGTCTATTTCCACCCGCCTATTCCATGTATCACATTTTTCTCCTCCATTTTCTAATCGACGCCTATATTTCCCAAATCTACGGTCACAATTCCTCATTCATCCTAAACATACACTTGAAACTTAAGATTTACTGTACCTCCCATCTCCATCTTTCTTTCTGCACTCCCGTGGCTCGCACCGTCACTGTCTTCCTTCTCTTGCTCCCTCTCTTCTCGTTCCTCCCCACTCCGGCTCCTCTCTCTCTCTCGAACTTTCTCCTCCTCTCGGTTTTTCCTCTTCTCTCTCGAACCTTCTCTTCTCCCAACTCCTTTTTTCTGTTTTCTTTTTTTTTTTAATCTTTTTTCTTCTCCTATTTATATCCCACCTACCCCTCATCCTGCCCGTCCATTTCACCTCATCCCAGCCGTCAACTCCCTCTTCTCCAAACGATGTCGTTTCCTCCTCCTATTCTCCAAGCGACACCATTTCCTCCTCCTCTCCCCAACTACACTAATTATGTTCCTACTTTATAATTATTACCATAGACATATATATACATAAAAAAATTTTAATCCAATATTCAATTACTACAGTTTAGTAGTGTGAAACTTTGAATTTAAATTTTTTAAAATGATTAAAACATTGATTTAGTCAAATTATATATTTGACTAGATTAAAGAAAAAAAGTCTCGATTAAAGATTGACAAAGCACGAAATAAAATTTTCTATTATTCCATTCTCTTTGTTCTTTTTTTTTAAAGAATAAATTTTAATTAAAAATTGATAGAGAACGAAAATAAGATTTTATATTTTATATTATTCTATTTTCTATATTCTTTTTTTTTTCTTCTAATTTCTCTTGTTATTATTATTTTTTAAGATATAAAATTTTTTATGTCATATAATCACCATGAATATCTATTAGCATACATTATTAAATTCGTTTACAAATTTTGATTTTTTTATAACTTAATTTTTAATATTTTTTCATTATAATTTACTATTTATTATTTTTCATTTATTTTAAATATTTTGTCATTTTTTAATTTTTAATGAAAAAATAAAATAATTAAGTTATGTTTAAGTGATTTAGAAATGACTTAAAGTTATATTGTTTAATTATGAATTATAATTAAATTAAAGTTTAGTTAAAACCTTTTACAAAATATATAATTAAAATTTTTTTAAAGTTATATAATAAAACATAGCAAATACATTTTTATTGCAAATAGTAAACCATAATTAAAAAAAATTCCTAATAATACATTTTTCCAAAAAAACAATTAATAATACATTTACTTTTTTTTTTAATTTTAATATTGCTCAACCCACTTCTCTTTTGGCCAGTATTCATTTCACTAATTAATTATTGCAATTTTTAATTAATTTAATTTAATTATTAGCCACAATAATTAAATCACTTAAAGAGCTCCCCTTCAATTTGCACCTCCAATATATATATATATATAGAATTTATGTAAATTATAAATACAAAAATACAAATACATATATATATATATATATATGTAGACTTTTATATACAAATGGCAAGATACTCTCTGTCTTTTGCGGTAGATTCTGGTTCCAGTTTTTTCAAGACATCTTTCTTTCTTTAGATTAGATTCATTCATGGCGGCAACCCAATCACAAGCTCCAGATCGTACCACTGGTACATCAATTACTCCAAATCCTTTTATGCTTCTCCACGCTTTTCACTTTTCAGTTTTTGATCTACCTCTTACTATCATTGCTATTTCTTCTTTTTTTGCTCAATTTGTTGCCAAATCAATTAATGTTTTCATCAATCGTCGCTGTGTTTTCTGTTAGTCATGATATATGCATAGATTTGTCTCTTTCCTTTTTCTCTTTGGTATATAATTGAGTCGTTACTCCTCGATTGGTGTCTTTCTCATGATTAGTCTGGAAATTCGCGTGCTTATGGTTCATATGATATCCTAATACCTTGTGTTCTTCTGAGTTGCAAGTTTTCTTGATATGATTCTCTCTAGAAGTAGAGACAGCTCGATCTTCGTATTAAGATCTCAGATCTGGATATTGTTAGGTGACGGTAATTATTATAAAATTTTCGACATGTGATTTTATCTTATTCGAATGCTTTGCGTGAATGTAAAACGAGCATAAGATTACAATGATCCATCTTTAAACAAAGTAATCATAATTGAAAGCAGTTGTTGATATGGAAGGTCGACCATATTTGTTCATCTTTCAAGAGGGAAAAGAACAAGAATGGTTAGTTAGTTGCTATGCTTATACCAGGTCTTCCGAGGTCTTTTTATTCATAGGTCAGTTTGTTCAATTATGTGGGAAGTCTTGCTTTGTTTACTTTGCCTTCGTGGGTACCTAAATGGGCCTTTGGAATTTTATTTCAGACTGTCTGTGGCTGTCAATAATTCCTTTTCCATTTTCTTGTATCATTACTTAGAGACTGCTGGGGTGGAAGTCACTTTGTTTGGAATTTGAAATGCCCTTTCTGTTTAATTTTTTCATCTTCTTTCAACAATAGGGTGCTACCACCTTATTGTGCTATATACAATAAGGTGCCACATAGCACTTTTTTTTTTAACTTTCAAAAAGGTGCTATATACACAAGCTTCTCAATCTTTGTTGATTTGGTTATGAAATTCAGATGAATTTTGCACGTTACAGTCTCTAGTCTGCCCCTATTATTCTTGAATTATATAAAAACAGAGCCTATTTAACTCCGAGTCAATGCTTTTTTTGCTTTAAAATGTATTTATATTATTTCATCTATCCTGTGTGCATAGGTGTGCACGCGTGGATTTGTGCGCACATATTCATAGCTTCAAGTTTTCCTATCTCCGAATTTTGCTTTGGTTGGTCAATAATTTGTAGTACCTGTGTTTCTAAGACTCTACTAAGTCACTGAGCAATACTGATCATGGATGCAGAAGAGCAACCTGCTAATTCAGATAACATGAAGGAACAGGTAATTGTGAGTTCATTACAACATCTCTTTTCCTAAAATAGTTCTCATTTTTTTTTACTATTCTCTGTGCATGAGTTTCACGAAACTTGGTCACTGACACCCTTCTTTTTTTAATCTTATAGCAGACGTCAGCAAAAAATGAGTCATCAATTTCACCTAGTTCCTCTCACGATACTGCCAGCATAGGTCTTGTAAGGGGAACAGCAGCTCAATCAGGATCGTTTGTATCAGTAGGGGATCATGCTGGCTACTCAGCTAATATCTATGCTCCTCAGGCACATGGTTTTTATTATAGAGGTTAGTCTTTTATGTCCTTTTCACATTTTCTTTTAAATGACAGTATTTGATGATCGTCGGTATATACCATGTTATAAATATAAGCAATGCATGATTTTTCACATTTTCTTTATGGACTTCTTTGAGTGGGTCATTCATCTATTCAGTAAGACCTATTCTTCTGCTATATTCTTCTTAGTAAACATTTGCTATTCCATTTCAATTTGATTTTAGTAATTTTGGGAAGTAACCAAGGGGATCGTTTCTTTAATTATGTTCTGACCCCAGGTTACGACAATACTATGGGTGAGTGGGATGAATATCCATCATATATCAATGCTGAAGGATTGGAAATTGGATCTTCTGTGAGTAAATCTTCAATAATTATTCATTGTTCTTGACAGCTTGGAGTTACTCTCTAGTTTAATATTTGGTCTTACTCAGGGTCTCTACAATGACAATCCTTCTCTTGTCTTCCATACTGGATATGGCTACAGTCCGCAAATGCCATATGGACCCTATTCCCCTGTCACGACTCCTTTACCTTCTGTAGGTGGAGATGCACAATTGTATTCCCACCAACAGTTTCCCTTCTCCGGCCAGCCTTACTACCAGCAGTTAGTTCCTCCCAGCATGCCGTATATTACATCGCCAACTCCTGTTTCTCAGCCAGATGTCACTAGTCTGATGGGTGTTGACCAACAAGGGGATAACATGCTTTTTGGGCCGAGGCCTAACTATCCTCCTCCAGTAGGATCTTTTGGCAGAGGTAGTTTTCCTGGAAATCCAGGCACAATTGGTTTTCCTGATTTGCAGCAAGGTTTTGATGGCTTGAGATCTGGTGGACTTTGGTCAGATTGGTCCAAGCCTTCTGACAGACAGAGGCCTCTAACCCCTATATCACCAGCAGTATCTCCACAGCCAATTAGCCCACTTGGTTCATTTGGACAAAATGTCCCAATGGTATGTCTTCTTTTAGAGTTCTTATCAGTTTCATTTCCCTGTCTTTGTTTATGATGCTATTTTGCTCTTTGATTCAGAGTATGGTTTCTTCTTTGCCACTCGGGAAGTTTGAAGGGAAGAAATCTGCATTAATATAGGCATCAACAGTTCAGTAGCAATTACATAGTCTAAGTCAAGAACTGAAAATTTTCTAAGCTACCGTTACTTCGAGGATTTTATTCTTATTTGACCCATAATGACCATATCTTGGTACAGTTTGATTTCTAGATATACTTGCATTTTAGTAGAGTTTGACTTCTAAATATGCTTGCATTTTAGAGAAATACATAATTTTGAATATAATTTGTAAAATTGAAAACCTGGTAGAGATGCTATTTAACTCGTCTGTGGCCATAACCTGTCATTTAAGTATATGATTGTACAGATTTTATAACTTAGCTGTTATTCTGTCAATGCGCGGCTACAAGTAAAATATGTGGCACCCTGAATTACTGTTAAGCGTCTTCTTTCACGTATTTTTAATTATATATCTCTTATCACTCCTTCTGTCTTAGTCTTGTTGCTTTTTTTTTGGGGGTCCTAAGCTGGCCTTTAGGACATGGTAAGGGTCTGTTCAGTTCAATGAAAATTTCCTGTTCTGAATGATTTTATTTATTGTTTTTTGAAAATTACAGAGGAAATGTTTAGTTGAATGAATATGAGAATAAGTTTCTATCAAAATCCATCTCCTAATTGTACTAAATTATATAACATAAAAGTATGCTTTATGATTTGTTGAAAAATAGAAACAGAAAGATGGCAGTTTTCTAAGTTTACAAAAAAATCTGTGGGAACTTCCTACTCCCACTGCAGTCAGTTGCCACTCGCCTAAACCAACCCCCATCTCGAAGCCTCAAAACTCAAAAGTCAATGAACAAGACACAGCCCTTGCTCTTCTTTTTTCCCAAAGGTTGTGACTAGTGGTTTTATAAACTATTGAAAATCATCAAACTTTACATTCAATAAACAATAAAATATTAAATGATATTGGTTAATACCGAGAAATATTAATCTTATTCAAGATAATAAATCATGAATACTAATAATAAACACTAATATTTTTGATAATATACTATGCCATTTACTTTATACTTACAATATTAAATATCTGTAAATTTCTATCTTATTCAGTATTTGTTGTTTATTATTATCTTCTCTATGTTGATTATTTCATATTAATTCTATTGATAAACTAATAGAATTTTAATATATTTATTTTTATGCTTAGAATATTAATTAAAACTATGTAATTCATTATTAGTTTTGATAATAAATCTGAATATTTTAGTATTATAGTGTAATTCACATTATGTTGTTTTAAATGTAATTAGAGAATAAGAACAATATGTCTTCCAAACTAAACCCATTTTTATCTGTTCTATCCTTAAAACACTGTTTTCAAGACATAGCAACTCAATCCGTTCTGTAAGGAGAAAGAAAGGCAGAAAATCAGAGAAAAAATAATCAAAACTCGAAACAATTGAATAGGCCGTAAATTTTTGCCAGTATATCTGCGTTGTTCTTCTGTTAAATTTAAATTTGAGACCTGGATTTTGGTTCTAGAGATAAGAAATCAAATGCATATAACCATTCTGACAAGGAACAGAATGTTAACCTAAATTTAATGCAATAGTAATAATCCAGTTCAGTTTTGAATTGCCTTGATGTACGTTGGAAGATATTTATAGTTTCTTGTATAATATGGGAGTCCAATAGACATGACAGCCTTGAGCATCGATCATGTTTTTTTGGTTTCTTTTTCTTTTTTAAGTAATCCTGGCAAGAAACTTTTAATTTAGCATGGATGTATTTATATGAATTAACTTTTATTCATTTGAAGAGAAGATGGCTGACTATCCTCTATTTAGTAATTCCAGATTTTCTCTTCTTGTCTTGTTTCTTTCCTTTTTGGTTTTGTTGGCAGGACAGGTAGTCCTCCTCTGCCATAACCATCCTTCTCTTTCTTATAACACTTCTTTTTCTGTGAAATAAAATATTAAAAGTGAGGACGACTTGCACTGGGAGCAAAATATTATTGTCTAATTTTAGCCATAAATTCCAGTTCATTGATGTGTTTACTTGTTTTTTCTTCAGGTTTCTCAGCAACAACGATCATTTTATGGGTTTGGATCTGGGTCAAACTCTTACAGTAGAAATTACCTATGCAGTGGTTTTAATCAGGGCTCTAGTTTTGGAAGTGGATCTATTTCAAGTTTGGGAGGGAACAATCAAGGGTGGCTTTCTCTTGATAGCAGTAGACAACGTGGAAGGGACAGTGGCTCTTCCTTATGTGGCTGTAATGGTGTTCTTGATATTCTCAACGAGCAAAACAGGGGACCAAGAGCCTTGAAACCTAAGAGTCAAATAGCATCTGAACATAATTCTTCCATGGATAATAGCAAACACAATAAACCCCACACCAAGGTCCATGATGATTCTTACAACAGGTCTGACTTTGTGACGGAGTACAAGGATGCTAAGTTCTTCATAATCAAGTCCTACAGTGAAGATAATGTTCACAAGAGTGTTAAATATGGTGTATGGGCTAGCACGCCAAATGGGAACAAAAAGTTAGATGCTGCTTACCATGAAGCTAAAGAGAAGCAAGATCCCTGTCCGGTGTTTCTCTTTTTTTCGGTAATGCTTCTGCAATACAATTATCATTTGAATGTGGCTATTCTTATTCTCCACTGTTCCATAAAAAGTGATTTCCTATAAGGGCTACAGTTATAAAACAATTTTTATCAATTTTATTTCAAAGAGCATTTCTCAGTCATCTTAATTTTTAGTTCATGGTTGTCTTCCTGTGGAGTACATATTTTTCTTTTAAAATATAAGTGGCATCCTCCGTGCCAAACCCAATTAGTTTACGAGTTAAATTTAGTTCATCCTGTATATTCCTTTTTCTTTTATGTGGAAGGCAGATATCGTAAAATTCTGCCTTCCGTATAATTTCTGTACTTTGATTGATTGAACATTTTGCTTTGTACAATTTGCTCAACTCTTTGCTTGGTTTTAAATAACAAATTGGACTTAAAATAACAAATTGGCAGTGCAACCAAGGGTGAGACGTTTGTCGGTTCATCCAAATGTTTGTTCTCCTATTGCAGACCACCTCTACCTGAACTTTTTAAGTATTAATTAATATTAGCTGGTTCTGAAAAGGTACTCTATATTTCTTATGTTTATCGATGTCCCATTTGATTCAGTTCTTATTATATTCTTTGTTAATTCTCATCCTTAATTTTAAACTTGAATTTGTACCCAAAGAAAATCAAGGTAGTACCTTGAACATGAATACTGTTGTAATCACACATAGCAAGATGATTATAAAGATTAAGGATGAGAATTAACAAGGGAGTGGATGAAAAATTATATGGAATGAGCAGAAACAGTTTGGGTTGGATTTATCTTTAGAAAAAGTTGGGCTTGGATTTAGCCCAGCATGTGATTATCTTTCTAGCAGTAGATGAATGGTTCTTATGTCTATAGTTCTACTTCATTCTTGCCTTCTCTTTTTGCTCTTATGATTTTCCTGTAAATTTTTATGTGGTAGTTTATGTGCAGGTCAATGCAAGTGCTCAATTTTGTGGGGTGGCTGAAATGGTTGGACCTATTGACTTTGATAAGAGTGTGGATTACTGGCAACAAGATAAGTGGAGTGGTCTATTCCCTGTCAAGTGGCACATTATTAAAGATGTTCCAAACAATCAGTTCCGACATATTGTACTGGAAAATAATGACAATAAACCTGTGACTAACAGTCGGGACACTCAGGAGGTAGCATTTCTCTAATAACTTATATATTTTGCTGGAATCCTTAGTTTATTAAAATGAAACCTTTAATTTGATGTAGGACAAGGAGTCGTTAAACTAATTTGCCTTGCTGCTATAATTTAGAAATAGAGAAATTTTGGATGAGAAACAGAAAAATATGAGAAAATATTGATAGGCTGGAAGAAATTAGGGATCAGGGTTAAACAAATCTAGTGAGAAGTATAACGAATGAGATAACTTAGATAGAATAACAACCAGAAGAACAAACACAGAGATAAAGGAAACAAAACTCAAACAACATAATTCTTGATTCATTAACGTCTATTATTTTTTTTCTTCATAGCTAAGAGCCTTTATTTACAATTAATTACAGAAGAAAAAAGTATAAAGAAGAAGTCTAAAAATATTCTAATTCCTATGTACTTAAGATCTACGTAAATAGGAAAGTAAAGTATAATAATGCCTCAATAGCTTAAAAGTATAAAATAATAATAATTCTTGCAAAAATATTTTTTAATTGAAACATTGTTTCTAAGTAATATCTTCTGATTCTACATCTTTTTATCTATTTGGTGTGAACTCGGCATCAAGTTTTGAAGTGGTTAAGCATCAAAATGAGAAAGGTTCGGATATGCTCGTCAGAATCTTCAAAAAGTGAAGGCTTTTAATAATTTTTTGTAGAAAAAATGAAAACTAACCAAAATTATAGGTTAAATCAATGAGGTAAATTAAAATCATCTGAAGAAATCTTTTTAATATCATCCTCATTTCGATGGCAACAAGAGGTAGACTAGATTATTGAAAGGAGGAAGTTGCTTAAAATCATTAGCATAAAAGAAACAACTTTAACAGGAGCCAATATTTCTTGAGTTGCCACTTGTAGTTCGAGAAGAATTCAGGCTTTATCTCTTCTAGTTTATCAGAAGTCTTGTTAAAAATTTTACCCCACTTTAATATTCTCATGGAGTCACCCATAATTCTTTAGTTCTTGCATATAGGTTGAATACATACTAAATACTCATTCAACAACAATTATCATATGCATGACCATCTAAAGAATTTTTTAGTGCACACAACCTCTTCTAAATATTTATGTTGAATACAAGCTTCATTATGTGGAAGTATACTAATACTTCTCATCCATTCATACAGATCAAAAACTGGGACAACCCATCACGAGTAATTGAGTAGATTATAATGAATTGTAACCAAGAATTTGTCTAATTCCATGCAAGTTGTTACCTTTAACTTTAATATGCTTGAGACGAGTTATCTAATGCCCATGTTTTCAAATTAAATTTAAAACCAATAGAATACACATAGGAACCTGAATCTGATGGTCATTCCATGAAGTATAAAACAAGAGGGTGGAGTGTGTTCTATTTTGTTATAGTATTAACTTTCTAGATGTGATTCCTGGTTTCCATCTTAAATCTGAAATAAAAATGAGAATCATCTGCTTCTTTTTTGTTTTAATAAATTTGAAAGAAAAGAAATGCTAAACTAATCACACAAGTCCTGAATTTCTGATCAAAGATGCATATTAATAATTTCTATTTATACAAATGAAATCATTAACCACTTATCAGTTATTTGAAGTGACATTATAGTTTCTGCTCATTGACATTTTTTTTTTAATTCCCTTTTGCCTATGTGTATATATTGCAGGTCAAACTGGAGCAGGGAATTGAGATGTTAAACATTTTCAAGAATTATGAAAATGATATGTCCATTCTTGATGATTTTGAGTTTTATGAGGAACGGCAGAAGGCCATGCAAGAACGAAAGGCTAGGCAGCAAGCCAACTTGATATCTGTAGGGGTAGTTGGAGAAAACGATAGTAGAAATGCTGTTACATTTTCCGGTGACTTCATTAAGCAGATGTCAAAGAGTTTTGCGCAAGTAGTTCGCTTGGATGAGGCTAGTAAGGATGGTTCTGTAGTTGATAGAGCTAGTTCTGCCTCTGATGGCTCCCTGGGTACCAGAGTGAAACTTGAGGATGCTACAAAAGCAGCTGTCTCCTCTGCTCAGGCCAGTTAGGCAGATATTAATGCCTGGGCTTTTGAGAAACCTTGCTGCCCTTATTAGGTGGCAATCTTCTGTTCCACTCTTAGTTAATATTATCGCATGAGGAGGTAGATCTCTGATATTTTGGAATCTGTTAGAGTGCATCAGTCTGAATGAAAGTCTTACAAGTTTTTCAGGGTTGCTGGGGCCTCCTGTATAATATCCTTCCAAATGCTGCTTTTCAATTTTACGCTTTGATTTTTCGTTTTGTTTATGTCCTTCCATTGTTGCTATGCAGGTGATTAGTTAGGTTAAGGTACTGCGCAACACCTTGCATTTGTAAAGTTCCATAGCTTTGCAGGTAGTTGAATAAAGGATGCAGCAGAAGGTAATTGAAGGAAGGTTTTCTTTTAGTTAATTTTTTTTTTCTATATTTCTCATTTATGAATATGAACAGATAGCCTTGCATATGGTGAGATGCATTCTCTGTCTTAACTTCTCCTGAGTTACTGAGTTGCTTCCTTGCCCTTTATAGTTCCACTTGCTTTGACAGAATATATGATGAGCTCTTATTGTGATATATATATATTTCAGTATGATGCATAATGTTAGCAAAATATGTAGACAATTTATGAGTCCTGTGGCTGTGAATTGATTAGAACGAAGAGTCTGATCGTCCAAAGTAGAAAGCAGTGTACAGAAATAAAGCTGTACTTTTATCAGGTAATTTTGATATTCTATTGTATCTTGACTAACATTCATTAGAGATTAGAGATTAGGAACAGAGGAGACCAGTTCGTGGCCAACTTGTTCTGGTTTTGGACCAGTTAAATTAACTTTTTGTTTTAACATAAATGACGGTAATGTATATAATAATATGTATATATATGTAGTTTATATATTATGTATGTATAGATGTTTACATGTTATGTATATAGATGTATTTAAGATGTATACGGTACATATATATATATATATATTTATGGGCGTGTGTATAATATATTTTTTTTTTAAAATTAAAGTATTTTGTAAAATTCAGTTTATTCGGTCTAAGCAGGACTGGATTCTATCGGGTCTAGGTTGAATTTGTTTGAAAATTTCTTCAAGTTCGATTTCAGTTTGGTCAAGCCTAGTTATGGATTGTTATTCATATTTTTTCACATAAAAAATAAATCCAGATCAAAGCTAAATTAATTAAACTGAAAAACTCATTCAATTAACCATTCCTAATAGTAATATTTGTAAAAAATAATTTCGAAATGTAGAGAAAACAAGTTATAATCTAAAATAATTTAGAATGAAGTTGTGTTTTTTTAATTTCTTGTATGATTATAGAAAGACCAAGAGAGTACATATATTTTGTCTCAAAATAGAATTTGTTTGTATTGAATGTCAATTGAAAGAAGTTATTTTTAGGTTGTGTAAGCTTTTATTGAACAATAGACAAAAGGAATTACATCTCAACTTTTTATTTTTATTCTTTAAATTTAATTGTTTTATTAGATTTAGAATATAAAAATTAACTAGACTTACTACATATACAAATAACATTATACAAAATTTAATTGTAATTTGCATCTAATGGGTTGAAAAGATTAAAATCCGAATGGCCAAGTGATCTCGACAATTTATTATTAATTATTAATTATTAATTTTTATATTATAATTTTGTATTTTCAATATTTGAAGTATAATAAATCTGACCCTCAATTAAAAAAGAAAATAAAGATGTCAAGTGTAAACCTCGGCCATTAAATTAAACATTTAAAATAACAATTTGTTTTTTTTTTTTTTGTGGGGAGTGAATAAATTAATAATTTATTTATGGAAAACAATAAGAGCAACACGCTTACACAATTTGTCTGAACCTCGACCATTCTTGTAGTAAAAAGACGAATTTACCCCTCACAGTCCTTCTAAATAACTTCTGCATGCCCACAGTTTTAGAGTTTACGCCCAGCCTCTTTCTTCCCAATCATTTCGATCGCTTCGATGCGTTGATTTCTTCTACAGGAGGCTCTTGTTGCACGTAGTTATACACAGTATATCTGCATGTATAGGATTGCACGGAGACAACAAGAGAAGAAGAAATAGTGATGGGAAATTCATGGGATTCGATTATTGTGATGGAGAGCATATGGAAGATGGGTCTTTTCCCTTCTTCGTATGCAGAGGAATTTCGCCTGCAAAATGAAGGTTTTTACTGGGCGACAATCATAGCGATATTGCTTATTCTTATTTGGCATTTCTCCAGAAAACTTTGCTTCTCTCGATCGTCCGCTTATGGTTCTCTCAAATCTAGCAATATTTCTTCTGTTTCTGGCTCCGTTGACTGTCAATCAGGGTAAATAAGTTTCTGACGTTAGTTTTTGCTTTTGTGTCTATTTGGGTACGACTTACTTGCCTTGTCTTGCCTTTTGGCGGGTTACTGTTTAGTGGGTAGTTTTTGTTTTCGTGCAAAACATTTTGTTGTGCTTTTGGTTGTCTGGTTCAATTCGGTTCCCGGTAATTTTTCTTGAATTGGATGATTATATTATTGGTATATGAATATATTAATTGGGTGTTTCATTTGCTTAATCTTGATTGTCTTCCAATCATTTTGGCCCAGGTTAGTGCTTATTGCTTATTTTGCCTTTTCATTACGTGGTTGCTTTTATTTTTTATTTTTCTAAATTTTATGTAAGTATTTGGTGGAATCTGAAGAAACTTATGGTATGGGATTATCTCTGTTGCTTGGTTTAACAATCTGCATACATCTCAAGGACTATTATTCTTTTTCACTACTGGGAGGGTTTAGAATAATTTTGTTACTATTGTTCTCCCTTTGGTCTTGATAATTGAAATATGAAACAATTTCTACTGGGCGATACTTATTAATTTCTAGATCATTTTCTTCCCTTGCATATCTTCTTTTGCTCTTTTTTTTTTGCGATTATAATTTCTGGTTTCTTCAAACTAATGCTTTTGTGATTCCACCATCAACGAAACAGCTTTCAACATCTGATCATATCCATTTAGTCACTGATGCAGAATTCTCATTGGTTCTGCAGGATCCCGGAGATTGTGTCAGACAGAGATTTGAAGTTTCTTATTGAAAATTTGGATGGGAATCCCAATGAAAATGAGAAATGGGAAACTGTTATAGACAAAAGAAACAGTGTTCTATGGTACAATGCAAAGTGCTGTAAACCTAAGGTTAAGTCTTTGTTTATCAATCTGAAATGCTGAATTAACTATTTATGAGTTTACTTTTTTGCTTTTTAGGTTGTGCTAGTTTTCTTGTAAAGCTTGCTAAGGTAGGTGTTATATTCCCAGTTTAGGTAGTCTTGTAATTAACCTACTAATGTGCTATTCTATACTTTTATTCCTACTCTAACTGCCTCAGTTATTCACACTCTTTCACTTTTTCCATAAGAAATTTATACAGGTCAATAATTAGGTGACACCTACATACTAATAACAACAAAATCAATAGTAGTACCATCTCCTAATGAGGATATTTGGGACATACACTCTGACTCAAAACAACACTCTCATAGAGAAAGGTGGAAGTACCAACCTTCCAACCAGAGGATGTTGATCATTCACACTCTTTTATGTACATGCAGCAAAATAAAAGAAACACTTGCAACATCAAAAACATGGATTATATCTTAAAGAATTTAATGATGCCATTTCTGATGAGCTGGCGATAAATATTTATTTGTTTTTCTTCCTCTATGATTTTCTGATTGACTGCCAACATCTTAACTATTAAATCTAGTATGTTTGGAACTATCTATAGATTTCTCTCAGGTGCTACTGCATTATATTATTTAGCTTGGGGAATTTTTCTGCTATGGCTAATCATTTTGAGGTTTATTCTGTTTTTAACTTCTTGCTTGGGTTCCCTCAAGGCTGCATTTTCACTTTGGAAGTGGCTTGAGGTTGTATTCTACAGCTGACAACCTAAGAAAGAGGGTATTGCTTTAGTTAATAGCCGTACAATAGAAGGAGGTAGTTCTTGCCACATTCTTCTAAGGTGTCCAAAGACTAAGCCCTTACTTTTTGTCCATTTTCAAATCTTTTTGGTTTGTTGGATTAAAACAAGGGCCTTTTTTTAAGGGTGAAACACCTATTACATCAGGTTAAGTTTACCACTTGGGTAATGCCTCAAGTTTGTGGGCATTCCCTAACAAGGGATGAATTTTTAGTTTTTTTAGATATATTATTGTGTAACTAGTAGTCCCCTAAATGGATAGCTCCCTCTTACTGCTTTGGTTGTACTTCTTCTATAACCAAAACCACTTTACTCTTTGGGAGAATTAAAATGGCATCTATTTTCTATTGTAGGATGCTCCTCTGAAGTACCTGAGTGTGACAGTATTTGAGAATTGCTCAGCTGAGGTCTTAAGGGACTTCTACATGGACAATGATTACAGAAAGCAGTGGGACAAGACTCTGGTTTTGCACGAGCAACTGCATATGGACAGAATAAACGGAATTGAAATTGGTCGCACAATCAAAAAATTCCCATTGTTGACACCTAGGGAGTATGTATTGGCTTGGAGGTTGTGGGAGGGAAAAGATAACACATTCTACTGCTTTATCAAGGTAAGTTTCCCAAAAACTCTAATGTACTATACTAGTTTGTGCATGGGGTTTTGTTGGTCTCTTTTTCTCTTATAACCCCCTTTGTTTCCTTATTTCTTGCCCTTGTGCTTTTCACACTTTCTCATTGGAATTATCTGGTTAAGATATGGGCACTACATTAACAAAAAGATTGTTGAAACTTATATGACCAGAAGGGTATCCTCTGCCTGTATTACCCTTTATAAAGTTTTTGTGTTTTTTGTGTGTATTCTTTCTTAATATTTTTATATCATTTCTCTTTTTTTCCTTTCTACTCTGGAGGGCTATTTGTATTGTCCCCAACTTTGAAGTCATTTCACCAAACTCTCAGCCACTGAAGGTTTTTACAACCTCAATCTGTGGTAGGTCAATTTGACGTCCGTCTCAGGCATCTTTTTAAGTTCTTCCAGTTATCTCAGTGCTAAGTATATTCCCGTGCTAGCATGGTTTTGCTTTAACAAGTCTTGGTTTTCAGTGGCAAAGTAGAAGCTTTGTCTGTTAATGAAGCAACTACTAGCTATGGTCCATATGAAAATATTGGAACTTTGTTCTACTTAAAGTAAAGATCATTTACTTTAACTTTAATAAGTAAAAAAGGTACCTGTTCTTATTTAACAATAAGTAGGTTTAAGGTTATTAATGATTTTCTTTCCAAAGAAAATAATGTTTAATTATAAAAAAGGATGTGTTTGCAACTTAAATTAACAGTAATTAGCATTTATGTTTGTATGGAAGACCAGCACTTGTTCAACTTAATGGTTCACAACATTAATTGACAAAGGCAACTTGTCCAAAAACATTTTGAGAGCCATTCACGGGTTTGTTATGTTCTATGATTTATAATACTTGTATTACGTATTTAAGACAGATGAGAACATGTCATCAATAAAAGTCTAATTAAGGGTCTGATGTTGATTATTCTTTTCTTCAGCTGATTGCTTACGATATAATTGATATTAACTAATTTTTTTAATGGCCATGATTAGGAATGTGAACATCCTTTGGCACCACTGCAGAGAAAATTTGTACGAGTTGGGTATTTTAGATCTGGTTGGCGAATCAGAAAAGGCTAGTGCCTGGCTTACTCCATTCATTTTCAATATTCTTGAAAGAATATGACGTATTAATTTGAACTGCTTTTTGATGTGTGTAGAAAGTGAATTTCCATAAACTAAATTGTGGAAATTGAATCATGTTATGCCTCATAAATCCTTTCTCTACCTGCCAGTAAAAAGAAAAATCTATCATTCCGTTTAGTTATGAACCTACATATAGGGAAATCTTGGGAAAAATCAGAGGAATGCCTAATTAGGTTTTCTAGCTTTAGGACCTTCTTTGGATATAAAAAGTGCTTATGAGAGAGACCTCAAAGATCTCTGGTTTCAGGAAGAAACTGTAACTTTCTTGTATAATCTTCTGCTTAATCATTTAATTCCCGGACAATGGATGAATATGTCTGATTACAAGCAAATAAGACTGCCCTACTATATTAATATCCACTTCTAAGAGGATCTTCAACTACCTGTAATGCAAAAAATAACCACCTACAATTGCGAAGGCTAAAAACCAGAAAGAGAGCATGTAAAACAGAAGTAAATAACTAGTCATCTACTGCTATCACTTGCTGAAATCAATTATTAACATAGATTGGTTGTGTGTTCATAACATCTATTCCCCCCTCAAAAAGGTAGTTGCTCACAAGTTCAAAAGATAGAGACCAAAGTCGGCATAAATTTAAAAAAAAAAGTTTGCAGGTATCATCTGAAATCTGGAGGTTGTCTGTGGCTGCTTATAGATGGAACAAAAGCCGTACCGAACTCCTAGGATGATGGAATGTCCAAATAAATACCTAGCTGATGTTAGTGCAATTAGAAAGTCTTCAATCAGTCCTATGGTAAATACTGTTCTCTTGGTAAACTGAATAGTTTCTGCATTTTTTGCAACCAGTGCTATATCTAATGCCAGAATAATTTTCTGTCCTGCATCAGATTCTTCAAGTACTTTATAATCGGCTGGTGTACCAAATTTTTTGTTATGCATAGCTGGTAATTGTTGTAGTTGGAAGTCACTATCAGCATCAACCAACACCTTGGTGAAGTGTATTGCATATCAGCCTGATCAATAATGGTTGAGTATGTCAGTGCCTCAAGACCACCGGCTAGATTGATTCCTAATTCAGCTACTGGTCTCCAGTTATGTCTTCCCCCGTTAACATTACTTTCTGCTGCCTCCCTCTTAGCCTAATCTCTAAGAAGTCCCTTGATAAATCATTTAATTGGGCTCTATTTCCGTTGCTTTACTTCAAGCGTAGCCCAGTTTCGTTCCCTCCCGGCCAGGTTCCTAGCTATGTCTTCCTGATACATTTTCAGGAAGGGGAATTGAATTGTTGCCAGAAAGCCCTAACATAACCACTTGTTCTGGTAGCAATTTGCTATAGTTTCTAGTTTGGGATCTATTGAGCCAACTTATAGGAATGTAGGAGAAAGTTTGACGAATATTTCTTAGGTTTTCTTGCTTTAGGACCAACTTGAATGCAGTGGGTCAATAGAGGGAACTGAATGATCTTCAAGTTTAGTAATAAAACTTTTGTGGATAATTTTATGATTAATTTTTTCATTCCCAAGCAACAAATAAGTACATCTGGTTACAAGCAAATGCAAGTGCGTAACTAACATTGATGACCACGCACAAGAAGAGAATAAACTATCCACTACACAAATCATAACCACCTAGAAAACGCACAGATTAAAAGCTAGAAATAGACAGAAAACTGAAAGTAAACCAAGTAAACTGAAAATAAACTAATTAGTCTTCTGCTGCAATCAATTTCGGACATCAATTGCTGGCATGGACTGGCTAGGACTTAGGAGGCCATAATGAAATGTAATTCTCATTAAGAGTACTTTTCTGGAGTCTGGACTGACTCTTCTATTTTTTACCAGAATTTTGCCATAAACTTGACCCATTAAAACTATATGTTTGATGTTTTGGTTCTTGCTTTTAAGTAATTTCCTTTGTTTTTGTTTTTTCTGATTCTTGACTTACTACAGTGCCTGGTACAAATGCTTGTGAAATCAAAATGTTTCACCAAGAAGATGCCGGTTTGAATGTTGAGATGGCAAAACTTGCTTTCGCAAAGGGCATTTGGAGTTACGTATGTAAGATGGACAATGCACTACGGAAATATCCTGCAATCAACATTCCTCAGACAAGTCCAGCCGTCTCCGCTGTCACCTTGATTAAGGAGGTCAGAAAAATGGTTGGGATTGATTTTGTTTTGAGGTCTATATAGTAGAAGTTAATCTGTCGTGTTCATTTGTAGTTTATGAAGAATACTTGAGGTCAAAGTTTTCTTTTATGCTTGTCAGTGTTTCATAAAAAATGAGGATAGGCTCTTAACCTGAAGCATATTGTGTTGGCCTGTTGGAAAATCTAGCTTTCGCTTCAAACCAGACTGACCTGTAGTTTAGATTAGCTATAGATGTCTGAACTAGAGTTTGTAGCATGAGCAATGTAAAAGTCCTGGTGGTTTTTAACTCTCTGTCAGCTCAACTTTTATGAACATAGGACTATAGTTTTTTATTTCCATGCAGGTTGCATCATCATCTGATATTCTA